GCCCGAGGCAGAGTTGCTCTGCCCCAGGCTTCCTGGAATCAGCCGCTGATCAGTTTCAGCAGCAGCTGACTTGGGGACGCCTGGGTTTCTTAAGCTGAATCTGTATGTAAGTCAGAACTGGCGTCCAGATTCAGCCGCGGTTGAAACTGATCAGTTTCAGCAGCAGCTGACGCCAGTTCCGACTTACATACAGATTCAACTTAAGAACAAACCTATAGTCCCTATCTTGTACGTAACCCGGGGACTGCCTGTATTTTAAAATCCAGATAATCCGTTATATGAACAAGGGATGGTGACATTAAATATATAGTTTATAATTGCTATCTATTTTAGTTCTTGAGCAAAAACAATTTTGTAGACACTTATATGCTGTAATCACCGTGGCAAGAGAGGTGTGCGCTATGTTCTTTAGTTTTATTTAAGATCTTATACTTTTAAAATAAAAGTGAAATAATCTGTTAAGTACTCAAAGTACAGAAAGTGAGGAAAACACTTACCAAAATCATAACCTTTTGGCATCACATTACGGCAGGCAACTCCATGCTTTAAATTATTCTGTTTATAAAAAATTAAAATTCAGTTTGAGGGCTTCATTTTCACTTAACATTTTTATATAAAAAGGATATAATAAAACACTCTTAGAATAATACCTCTGAAAACAAAATATATTTTAAAACAAGTCCGTCTTCCTGCACCTTACATCTATAAAGCCCTTTTATTAAAGACATAAGGTTTTAACCACCCTGTAATGAGTGAAAAACAATCAGCCTATCATACAGAATGCACAGGTAATTTTAAGTAGCTTGGGATAGATTGAGAAGAATAAGTTATACCACAAAATATTTGTACATTCTAATTAATGTAACATTCAACATCTTCCAGTAGAATAGTTACGAACATACACCTTGATCCTGCAAATGGCAAAACTGACTCTGGCTTCAATCAATCAGAACTGGATCCTAATGAACAGGAATGACACTGAATATTACATAAATGAAACATGGAAAGGCCGAATACACTTTCTCATACTTACTAAAGATTCATCGTAACCTCCATGGTAGAACATCTTAGACTTCACATTCCAGTAAGCAAAAAGGTTATCCAGACGTACAAGCTGAAAATAAAATAGAACACTTATGAAGTTGAATACACTGTGATCTCTTTCAGTGCTTTCCATTATTTTTAGGTTTCTAATGGATATTAAAATCACCAAATGCATTCTCCCCCCAGCAGTTTTGATTATATACAGATAGATACCTTTTACCTAGCAAAACCTTAAACCAACAGAAGCTGGCTTCTATTTTGACAATGTTTTGTTATAATTAGGGATGTTAAACATCAGTTAATTGAACTGTCAAGTAACCTTATAAAAACTGTATCAGTTAGTAGACTATTCTATAGCCCCCAGAGGCGGGGCCAGCAGCCACTGTTTCAGAGGCAGCAGCACAGGATGCCATGCAGGAGCTGGTCCATGAGGGGAGTCAGTTTAAAAACCAGCTCCTCTCTGTCACCTTATGCTGCTGCTTCTGAGAAAGAGGCAGCATTGCAGGATATCAGCAGTCCCTGTCTAGCAGGGTCTGAGCTCCCGGACTCAGCACAAGGCAGAACTAAGCCGGGCTGCCTACCCGCCCAGCTCTGAAATGCAGAGCCGAAACGGGGGTAGATCCCGGACCCAGTCCCGAGCTGGGTTGCCAGCCTGCTCTGTTCCTAATACGCTTCAAATGCAGAGCAGGCATAGGTCCCAGACACATTGTAAGCCAGGACTGAGCCAGGCTACTTGCCAGTCTGCTAAAAAAATTTACTGGCAGAAAGAGGGGGAGAGGAAAATGAGTATAATCTATAGCATTAACCTATAAGCTTTTGCTTATTGGCTAATCAGTTAATCAACTACAGGCAGTCCCCAGGTTACGTACAAGATAGGGACTGTAGGTTTGTTCTTAAGTTGAATTTGTATGTAAGTCGGAACTGGTACATATTGTACCCCAGGTGTCCCCGATTCAGCCGCTGCTGAAACTGACCAGCGGCTGACTACAGGATCTATAGCATTAACCTATAAGCTTTTGCTTATTGGCTAATCAGTTAATCAACTACAGGCAGTCCCCAGGTTACGTACAAGATAGGGACTGTAGGTTTGTTCTTAAGTTGAATTTGTATGTAAGTCGGAACTGGTACATATTGTACCCCAGGTGTCCCCGATTCAGCCGCTGCTGAAACTGACCAGCGGCTGACTACAGGGAGCCCGAGGCAGAGTTGCTCTGCCCCCGGCTTCCTGGCATCAGCTGCTTATCCGGTTCCGCAGGACGCGTCT